AACTCCACTACGATGTTCATCGCGACGCCCGGGGGCCCGCGCGAGCCCAGAGCCCCTGTCCGCGCCCACCCCGCGCCAGGCACACCAAAGGAGCCCTTGTCAGAGCGGCCGGGACCAGAAGGCTGCACCCCGCGCCTGTCCCCGAGGTGCCCGCCGGACCACAGTGCGCGGCGCCGCTCTCTGCTAGCGCGGTGCTGGGCTCCGCACAGTGGCCCCGGGCTGTGCCCGCAGCGGCTGCCGCCCGGCTCGGCGCCTCCTGCCGGCGGCCGCCCGCCTGTCCCGGAGAGTCCTGCCGGCCGGTCCCGCTGCAGCGGCGGTGACAGCCGTGAGTTAGGCGACGCGCACTGCCCTCATGGCCAAGCTGCCGCCGCCCGAGCGTCCCCGGAGCCGGCGCAGCGGCTCCTTCTCACCCCGGGGAAGGAATGAGCGGTGGAGACCGCACCGGCTGGCCGGCTGCCGCAGGAGTTGTCAACTTGACTCAAGTTGCGAGAGGGTGGGAGAGTGGGGTGCGGGGCAGAGGAGCGCCGGAAAGGGGGGACTCGGTAGGCTCAGGCGAGCGCTGCCCAACGGCTTGCAGCTGCCCCTGCGGTCTCGTGTCCCCCTGCCCTGCACTCCCCGCGGCTGTCACTCGGGTACCGGGCTCCGCAGCACAGCGCCGCTTGCAAGTTGGAGCGCTCCCGGCCAGCTGTGAGCGGGTTCCACGCTCCGCGCTATATAACCCGCGACGGGGAAGAGCCGGCGGCGGCATCGGCTCGGCCCTCCCTCCGCTCGGCCCTCCCCGCCCCCGGGCGCACCCCGCCCCCGGCCCAGCCCCCAGCCCTCCGCCCGTCGTCCGCCGAGCCGCGCGGGGCAGCCCCTCTCACACGGCCGTGGCCGCAGCCTCCAGCTCTCATTGCACCTCCCTTCGCAGCTCACGCCCCCTGCCGTAGGTCGTCCCGGCCTCCGCCTGTCAGGCCGCGCGGTCGGCGGAGCCCCGGCCATCATCCCCTGGCCGTCGCGTCCTCGCTCTTCCCGGTCTTGCCACTTTCGTTAGCCAGGGGACTTCAGACTGCCCCGCCTGAGATCAGGCGCTGCGGAAGACAGCCCTGAAGGCTAGAGGACAACGAGAAGGACCTCGGCAGCGCGGCAAGGCGGGTGCCAGAGTCTGACTATGGGTGGCAGAGAGTTGAGAAGCGGCCAAAAGTGGCTTCGAATCGCTGCTACCTGTGTGGGACATTATCCCAAAGGCTCTCATTTTCCTGGCTGAAATCACCACCCCGGTGGTTACCCACAGCCCTGGTCAGGCGTCTCCCTCCCGTCGAGCGGACCATGGAGTGATGCATGCCGGGGTTTGTAGTTTATTCCCCAGAGGCGTGTTATTTGGTTAATTTACAAGGTGGAAGTCGAGCTAATCCTGTCAACGCAACCTAGGGATTAGGACCCCGAGCAATCAAGGTGTCACCACTCTTTGCACTTGAATTGATTAAAGTCTAACTACTGCATTTGCTTTTCCCACAAAAGTTTCCCCCAAAAGTTGATTGGAAGAAGCTAAATCGGGGATTTCTTAATTTTGCAACTTCAAGGTGGGCTCTCAGCTCCGAGTTCTTTTCCGGCTTATTTTAGGACGCCTATAAATCGTGGGGCTTCTCTCGCCGTCTTTAAGTGGGCAGTGCGCATGCGCCAACTTCCTCTTTTTCCGGCTGGAACCATGGAGGGTGCCGAGTAAGTTACTCCTCGTCCTCTCGAGAATCCTTCTCCATCCCCGAAAATATAGGCCATTTGTCTCCGTTTTTCCCTGTCTGGTTGTACTTCTTACGTTTTCCCACCTATCTGTGTGTTTGTGACGCTCCATGACACCAGTAGGGACCCCGAGCTGGGATGGGATGCTGGCGGCCATAGGGTGAAGGTTTTGGAAGTACCGGGAACGAGGTACCAGCGCAGAATTTATGTGTGCATCCAAGCCGGTTGGGCCGAGGTCCATTCCTCGATGGAACCGAGGTATATCGAGGCCGGTACAAAACCTCTTGAGTTGAATTCATCCTTGGTTAGTACTTGGCCCGGGCGTTTTTTGCTTACAGGCCTTTGCTTTCAGTATGCGTGGCTTGGGACTTGAACCAAAGTGGAATTTGGCCTTTTTATTTTTGAGAATCCCAGGTTCTTTAGGCAGAAAGTTAGGTGTCTTTGTAGCAGTCTTAAGGTTCTGATACGTCTTGTGTAGATATTTTCTAAGGTATAATTGTTGGAGGCCAGGACTGGAGCTGGAATGTTCATTCTGTTAAACCACAATCGCAAATGTGTGATTATCTGACATGTGTGTTAGAAGGGAAAATTACTGAAGGAAATTTAAAAATTCTGTGAGACTGGAGCATATTAGGGTAACTTTTAAGATACCAGTGATGGTGAAGAGCCACCGATGCTCCATGTGTTAACACTTTGCTCAGTACAGCACGGGAGTGATGCAAGGCAGAAAGGTTTCTGAATTATTGATAATATTCTTTGTATGCTAATGACAGAGAGAAGAAAAAGAAGGTTCCTGCTGTGCCAGAAACTCTTAAGAAAAAGCGAAGGAATTATGCAGAGCTGAAGGTAAAGCGCCTGAGGAAGAAGTTTGCCCAAAAGATGGTAAGTAAATGCTTGGATGCACTAAGCTTTGAGGAGAGTCCATGTGGTTGGGATTGAGAATGAAGTGAATGTTCTTAGCTAGACTTGTTTACTTCACTGTTGTACCAAGGAATTGCTTGAAGCTTCCTAATGTAGCTTTTGGAAATGTTAACTGTACTATGGCAAGAAAAATTTCAAGGGAAGATTATTTTAAAAATTGCTATTGCAAATTGTTTGGGAGTTAAGAATCATGAATAATTGGTAATTGTTTTTCAGCTTCGAAAGGCAAGGAGGAAGCTAATCTATGAAAAAGCTAAGCATTACCACAAGGAATATAGGCAAATGTACAGAACGGAGATTCGGATGGCTAGAATGGCAAGAAAAGCCGGCAACTTCTATGTACCTGCAGAACCCAAATTGGCATTTGTTATCAGGATCAGAGGGTAAGTTCAGTTTTTACTGTATCTGGTTTAAAGGGAAGTTTAGAAGCCTCAGTAAAATTTCCTGTTAATTCAGGAAGGACTGATCTAAAACATGGGAATAACAATGTTTAGGTGTGACTAGAAAAAAGGCGTGGGTGTCATTTTAAGGGGTTAGTTACAAGCCCTGTCCTAAAGCTCCTGTCTACTCTAATTAAATCAGGAGGAGTTCAGGGTCCTGTCAGTTGATTTCAAAAGAAGTTAAAGTGTACAGTCACTATTGTGCTGTAACAAAGACAGGTGATAACACAAGTCAGGACCTTTCACTGGTACTTATCAAAAATAGTTGGAGAGGAAGCAGGTTGGTGGGAATTATAGGGTAAAGAGGAAAAACATCAGTGATATTTAGTTTTTGTGGGACATGTGTGATCAGTTTGTTTAGTTTCCTGTCAGTTGATAGTAAAAACTGATTTAAAAAAAATTTTTGGTCCCTTTTCACTGCAGTATCAATGGTGTGAGCCCAAAGGTTCGTAAGGTGCTACAACTTCTTCGCCTTCGCCAGATCTTCAATGGCACCTTCGTTAAGCTCAACAAGGCTTCAATTAACATGCTGAGGATCGTGGAACCTTACATTGCATGGGGGTGAGTGCCTTTTTTTCTTGGATTTCTGCTTGGCAAATAGACTGGTATAGCGAGGTGAATTTTAGATGTTTTGATAGCAGTAACCTTTTTCTTTGATCATGTACGTCTGCTTTTCGTATTTCAGGTACCCAAACCTGAAATCAGTGAATGAACTAATCTACAAGCGTGGATATGGCAAAATCAATAAAAAACGAATTGCCTTGACAGATAATGCTTTGATTGCTCGATCTCTTGGTAGGTTCTTTTTGTTTGGGGGAAGTTTGATATTAGATGGTGAAATTTTATGGCCTCTCCTGTCCTTAATTTTCTCACTAATGAACCTTCACATTATTTCCTATAATCCTTCTTTAAAGAAAACATGAGATAATTTCATTTGCTTGAATCTTGACACGGGTGCTTTGGCACACTGAGCTACATCCCAAGCCCTTTAGTTTTTATCTTGAGACGGTGCCCTCAAACTTCTGTCTTTTGTCTCTGCCTGTGCCAGTAATCCCAGTGACTCAGGCACAAGCATGCAATATGGCGCCCTTCTGTTTACTTCTTTTTCTTTTTTTTCTTTTTTAGATATACATGATTCTGTTTACTTTTGATTTGCGTTTAGCTCAGCCTGTAATTGTGCTTTTTTTGTATGCCTTAAAATTTAAGCAATCACAAATGAATTTTTTTCCAGGTAAATATGGCATCATCTGCATGGAAGATCTGATTCATGAGATTTACACTGTTGGAAAACGCTTCAAAGAAGCAAATAACTTCCTGTGGCCCTTCAAATTGTCTTCTCCAAGAGGTGGAATGAAGAAAAAGACCACCCATTTTGTAGAAGGTGGAGATGCTGGCAACAGGGAAGACCAGATCAACAGGCTTATTAGAAGGATGAACTAAGGTGAGAAACTGCATCCTGGGAGAAAGTAGTAGTTTTAATAATTGAATGTGGTGATTTTGAATATAATCAGTACTCTTCAGTGGGAGAGGGGTGATATATGATTAGTTGGTTTAGTTACTCCTCTCCTTCCTTTTGAAGACATTTCTGGAGGGAAGGAACCCCCCTCCTTTTTATCAATTTAAAAATGGAAATTGGGTGTCCTTAAAAATACCCCTAATTAAATGTTAATCTTTAGCTGCTAAGAGTCTTTAATAGGTTTATTTTCTTTCCCTTTTAGGTATCTACCATGGTATTTTTGTAATCTGGTCAGTTAATAAAACAGTACCTGCTCTCAATGTATTGGTGATTTGTTAGTCTGCCTCTGCCTTCCTTCAGCTATGATGGTGAATCTTGGTGTGTATACAAATTCAGTCATATCAACAGAAAACCTGGGTCAAGTTTTTATGTTGTGAAAAAACATTTCTTGGGTTTGTGAGGCTTTTCATTTTATCATACACATTTAATTGCTGAAGTCCCATGTCTCTCAGACACTGGCTTGTTTGAAAACTACCGTGTGAATGTGTTATTTTTCCTTTTGTATTCCATTTTTTCATTCTTATTTTGCATCTTCTGCCCAAATTTAGATGAGATATTAGTAATTCCATTATACATTGTGGATATTAAGTAGAAGTGAAATTGAAATGAGTGAGCAAAACTTTGAAATAAAAAGTCTTTACATGTATAGGATAACAAAGTATACAATGAAAGCAAAGTTTTTGTAGTCACTGAATTTTTTTTAATTTTAGGTGGACACTATTTTATTTTTATGTGGTGCTGAGGATCAAACCCCCAGTGCCTCACATATGCTAGGTGAGCACTCCACCACTAAGTCATAACCCCAGCCCCCATGTAGTCATGATTTTTATTGCTGAGACCTTATTGCAGCAATGTGAAATTTATCCCTTGTTGATTTTTTTGGCACTATTAAACCAGAATCATTAACTGATTTTCAATAATTGAAGTTTCTAGACAAATACATTAGGAATTTATTTATTTATGATCCAGAAGCTATTTCTCTGCCTTAGTTTCTTAAGAGTTCATGAATTCTGGAGAAAAAAAAGTATTTCATAAAATCATGTTACATGTTTGTGAGAATATCTGTGTTAGAAATTTGTTTTAGTGAACTGTAGGATCAGTGTTAAAAAGAATACATATAATGTTAATCTCTAGGTGGAGCCAAAGAGTTTTAAGTTTTGAAGCTTATCCTCTTTTTGCTGTTAAATGAGTACTAAACCCCTGTCTTCGCACATCCACTGTCCTGAAATGGAGGCGTATTTCACAAGATGTTAGACCTTGGTTGACTTAACAGGTTTTTAGACAATGGTGAGGGCCATCAGTGGCCTTTGCAAGATCAGAGTAAAGTTTTATTGCTAACTGCTTAGGTGTAGGTGGGTGGCTACACTACAGTGTTAGAGGAAATTTTTATATTGGGATAAGAATAACAGGTGCTTAGATATAGAGTAGTGGTGTTTAGCAGAATTTATTTTTTTTAAGAGCAATTTTAGGTTTACAGCAAAAATGAGCAGAAAGTATGAAGGGTTACCACACATCTCTGTCTCCATATATAGCCTCTTTCAACTCCCTACCACCACCCCTGCACTACATTTGTTAGTCACTGGATTTATATTGATATATCATCTTGTAAATAGAACCAGAGTGGAGAAACAAGGGAGGGATTGTAGAGATCCAGGATTGTCCACTCTGAAGCTCATGCAGTGGGATTAGGAAATCAGTAGATAGTTGTAGTGAGTATGGGGGTAAGTAGGAAAAATTTACAACATTGCTGTCTGCTGGTGACAGCAGTTTCCTAGGGCATAAAGTGAAATGATAATCTGACAGAACTGAGGATAGAAATGTGTGGGTATGAAAATATTTTGTGAACTGTGGAGATGATGATTGGCACCTTACTTGAATCCTACCTCTTTAAATTTGCAAAGAGATGTTCCACTTCCCCATTCATGTGAACCTTGGCACCTAGTAGGGTCAAAAAGTCACCTTATCTCTTGATTTCCATTTTACTTAGTATTTATTTGTAAATACTATTATTTGTTTTTTGGTTGTCTATATTAAGAATGCAAGTTTGGCACCAGGCTGCTTGTATTCACATCTAGTCTCAGTCTGGGCCAATAAGTCCTGTTTAGTTTCTTAATTAGTAAAATAGGGGAAATGTTGGCACCAGTTTTAATAGGATTTCAGTGGAAATTTAATGTAAAGGTTTCGTGAAATGTGTGGTATTGGTCGTAAATTTGAGCACTTCAAATGTACAACTGGGAGCAATGTAAAATAACCTCTACTTTGTCACTCTGATGGATGAAATGGACAACAAATATGGTAAGCTGAGTGCTTCAGGGATGTACAGAGCCTCCTGATATCTTTAGGGGCCCAGCTCCACAGGAAGATGGACAACTTTCTGTTCCTTTCTTTTTTGGGGTTTAAAAATATATGTTTTCCACTTTTTGGTACTGAGGATTGAATCCATGGTGCTTAACCACTGAGCCATATCCCCAGCCCTTTTTGAGACAGGATCTTGGCAAGTCACCATTTCAGTGAGGCTGGCTTTAAACTTGGGATCCTTCTGCCTCAGCCTCCCAAGTTGCCAGGATTCTAGGCACGCAGTCCCCCACTATTTTGACAGATTTGATGTCAGAGCAGTCTCTGTTCTTGTTTTTTGTTACTGGGAATTGAATCAAGATGCTCCTAACCACTGAACTGGTGTTTGAGAGAGGACCTTGCTGAGTTGCTGGGATTACAGGTGTGCATCTCTGCTTCCAGCTATAGCATTTCTATCTGGAATTCATTTTCCCCAGCCACTCCCCAGTGTAAGACTTAATTTTTAAAATGCCTGGTACATTGTAGACACTTGGCTCTAACCTCTTAAGCCATTTGAAATTTTGAGTCTCCAGTTGCAGTCATTGGGTATTTGGTGATGGGGAATGGTAGGAGGAGGAGTGGGGAAGACTTCATTTAGTAATAGAACATGTTGAGAGAATACTATTCATGCTATGTAGCTGGAAGCTTTCACAAAGGAGGTAGAATTCAGACCCCTGATGACAGAACAGAAATGGCAGAAGTTTGAAGTAGGAATGTAATAACCAAGAGGATATGAGGTTGAACCTGGTGGCACACACCTGTAATCCAGTGGCTCTGGAGGCTGAGGCAGGAGGATCACGATTTCAAAACCAGTCTCAGCAATTTAGTAAAGCACTAAGGAACTTAGTGACATCCTGTCTCTAAGTAAATACAAAATACAGGTGAAGAATATGACTCAATGGTCGAGTGCCCCTGAGTTCAATGCCCCCCTCAAAAAAAAAAGGGATGAAAAGAAACCATTTAGTAATAAAGTTTTGATTACAATCATTGAGTCCCAATGCTGCTTTAATCCACATAATTCTATGTAAGTGGTTCTAAGTGGTGGGCCACTTAAGTTCCAGGCCTAATTTGGGTTGGAAAATTGAAGTATGTATGTGTTGAGCAGTCTCCCTGGAGTCAAACCATATCACGTGCACTTTGTAGCTCTAGTAGAGGAGGTGTCAACGATTTGGCAAAGTGCTGAGGCTTTAGATCCTACTGTGCAAAATTAGTGTGCTGTGCTTTGAAAGGGGACACCCTAGTTTTCAAAGGAATCAAGAGTACGGGTTAAAATACCCATGAAAGCCTGATTGCTTTAAATCTGAAAAGTTAGCCTTTGGTACTAGCTGATGAGCAAACAACCCAGAAACTACATACACCTGTCTGATTGCCCATTACCTCCCCTTCTTCCCCTCGTGTTGTGTCACAACTGACCACTGATAAACCTGCCTTGTTTCAGCACTTGCTCACCTCAGCACCCCAAGCAGTGACCTCTGGTGCATGCCCTGGAATCCCGGCAGCCTCCTAATCTTACCCAGGCAACCACCCTGGTCCCTTAAGGCTAGGTCCCTTCCTCTGCAGGACTGGCCTGCAACCCGGTAGAGCGGAGCCCCGCAGCCCCAGGTGACAGGCCCCTAGCAACCGTTGCGCGCTTTGGACGGGCGTGGCTGCAGCTGCCCCAGCCGGGCGGAGCTGAGCCACGCTCCCCAGCATCGCAGGGCTGCCGGCCGCCGAGCATGAGCATGCTTGTCCTGAGAGCAGCTCCCGTGCGAGTGCCCGGCCGACTGCCTCGTCCCACCACTCTGGACAGCACAGCAACGTGGCCGGGCTGGGCCAGGAGCTCGAGTCAGCACAGGGCCGCCGCTGGCTCCCGCGCTGCCCGTTACCCCCACTGCAGTCGTCGCTGCCAGAACTACCCCCCTTTTTACCACGGGCCCGGCACCACAAGAAGCCCTTCCCCTCTTACGAGGAGCTGCAGGGACAGTGAGTGCGGGTGCCTGGCCGGCTGGCCATCTAACCCCAAGGCGTTGGAGGTTGGGAGGGCCGGGACATTTCCGGGTCAGGCCTGAGAGGGGTGATGAGTCTCCTACCAAGAAGGGGGAAAACGACCTAGAGAGACACCTGGGCGGGTTCCAAGTATTCTCTTCAGACCCTCTAAAGCGGAGCTTCCAGAAAGAACTAGTCACAAGGTCCTGATCAAGTATACACTGAAGGGTCGGGTGACAGGAGATGGGGAATGAACCAGGGGAAGAAAGCTTGCTTGCTAGATATGTAAATTCCATTCCCTCTCCCCTTTTGATACCGGGCAAACGTATCTATTCATTAAGTGGACACACCCTTACAGGTTCACTCTCCACCCCTCCCAGAACTTAAACCTTAAGGGAGTGTGGGATGTGCTTACTTCCTTCTTTGATTGCCATGTTTCTGCCTTTCTCCCACACTTGGCACCCAGCCAGATGGGCCAGGACTTTGGAGGCTGACCCTATTAGATTGTTGTAACCCAGTTTTCATTTCCAATTTTGCCTTGTACCAATTCTGATTTACCTATCATTTGTGTGCTACTTTTTTCACTAGGGCTTAAATCTACTAGAAAATAGTTGCTTGCAGGTAGACTTCTATTGTCATCTTTTCATCTAGCCTTTTTGGGGTTATAGATATCATGGAAACTGTAGAGCCTCTCTGGATAAATGCAAACAATTTTGCAAACAATTTTAAAGCATTATACTCCCTAAAGCACAAAAATCTCTGCTCTTCAAATACAACTGTGTGTGCATATGTATGCTTAATAGTGTTAAAATCTATTAGAATTTTATTTTAAAAAATACTTCTGACATTTGCATTTTAAAATTCTTCCTTACAGTTTTGAAATTACACTATAGTGCATTGGTACTTTTCATGGGAACACCACAGTATATAGAGTTGGAGATGAATGAATGCCTTCTTTATTTTCCACTACTTTCTCTTTAACCCCAGTTAGAGTTAATTTAGTGTTCATCCTTACATTCTTTATTTTTTGGTCATGAATGAAATTATGTATGGATTCTTTTGAAAAATTGCTTTTCCAATTAAGGTACAGAGAAACCTTCCATATGAATTTTATACTTAGGGGGTGTACTGAGTATTTCATACTGTAGATGTATCAATTTATGTAACCACTCTTCCACTTGAGATTAGTTCCTTTTTTTCCCTATTATAAACAATGCAACAATGAACATTCTTACACCCAGGAACAGTTCTATAGAATAAATTCCTTAAAGCAGAATTGCAGGGTCAGATATATGTACATTACCAATTTTGGTTGAATCTTGCTTTCAAAAAATTGTTTTTATGTATAATTATAATGCTTTTTATGTATAATTATATGTATATTATAAAACTAAAAAAACTTTAAGTATAAATCTAAAAGAAAATAATGAACAACCTTTTCCCAGTTGTGTACCCTTTACTTGTTCCAGTATCAAAATACACAATTAAAAAAATTTAAACATCTTTTTAAAAAAATTGTGAATTAACTTTTCATCAGCAGGCCGTGATAAGGAAAAATGTTTATTAATTTAAAAATAGTTTATGCTCGGTGTTTATTACATGTCAGTTATTGTGCTGAACACTTTGTGAGTGTTTTAAAATTTACTCTTTACACACCTTATGAGGATCAGAGGCAGGACCCAATGATTATGTAGCTATTGAAAGACAGAGTCAATATTAGAATACAGTTTCACTCCAATGCCTATGTTCCTTGTAGGATTTGAATTCCTGCTTGGTCATTGGCTGAAATTTATGTTTCTTTGGTGTGTTAGCTTTTCATCCCTATAACCAAATACCTGACCTAACAACTTAGAGGAGAAAGTTTATTTTGGCTCAGTTTCCTAGGTTCAGCCCATGCATAGTCTATGGTCGGCCACCACTCTTGGCCAAAGATGAAACAGAAAGATGCTCAGCTTATTGGGGGGGGGGGGGCAGAAGTGACATGATATAATCTCTGAGGGCACATCCTCTAACTTCTTCCAGCCACCCCACATACCTTTAGCACCTAGCACATTCAAAATTAGGATGGATTGATTAGGTTACAGCTCTCATAACGTAATCATTTCTCTTACTATTTAACATAGGAGCTTTTGGGGGATGCTTTGTATTCCAATCATAACAGTTGGGTAGTTTGAGGAGGAAATGAGATCCTGTGTTTAATATTAATTTCTTTACTTCACTAACTTGTGTATAATTGGTAAAGTCTGATGCCTCCAGTGATGCTGGTTCTTCTCCAATCATTTCTCTGCCCTTTCTTCATCTTTCTGCTTTGCATATATTTTAAGGAAATCTGTTTTTTTTTTTTTTCTTTTTTGGATCTCCTAGGCTAACTTTAATGTAGCTTCTGGCCTTAATTGTTACCTATAAATAGGTAACATTTTTATCTCCAAACCAAGCCTATAATCCTCAATTCCTACTACTTGGGTCCAGGTTATATATCTCCACTGGATGGCTTGTACTTCAATTTTATCTAAAACTGGACTCTTATTGCCCTTTAGGCTGAAACTAACATGTTCTCTTTGAAATTAATTCATGGTTCTATAATTTTTTTAGTCATCCCAGTTCATCTTTGATTTTTTTCCAAACTTTCCACATCCAATGTACTATCAATCTGTCATTCTCACTGCCACACTGCTCTAATTTGCACTCTCTGGACTCTTATTAATAGCTGTCTAACTCTTCCTGCCAGATTAATTTTCCTAACGCATAGCAGTGAATATATGCCACAACCCTATTCCAAAACCTCCAATGGCTTTCCATTACTTAGAAAAGAAAATATAAACCATTTGCCCAGCATTCAGATTCGTCCCAATCTATTATTTCATTAACTCTTACAATGGCCTTATCTGAACCCCTTTTTCCAGGCAAACTAGGATACAAACATCCCATTCTCCATGATATCTTACACTTTTATATCTGGGTAGAATGCCTCTCCCCACATTTTGGCCTGTCTGAATTCTATTGAAATCTCATGTTCTTCTTTCTTCCACATCTTTCTTGAACCTCCACCAGAAAGTATTCTCTCCCTCCTCTTAACTCATCTAATGCTTTATCTTCTAAGGCTTTAATTTTACACACCCTACCTTCCAGTTGTATAAGTGGATATTTTTTCCCCTTCTGTATTGGAAATTGCATGAAGGCAGAATCTGTATTTAGTTTGTCTTTGTATTTCTCATGCATACGGCACATTGATTTGTACATAGTACATGGGTAGTAAATGTATTTGAGTAAAAACTAATATATACTTGGGAATAAAAAAATCACAGGTGTTAGCATACTGCTAGCTGAAATGACAAATAGGTCCCAACATGTTAGTGATTTAACATATAGAAGTTTATTATCATTCACACTGTAACAATTTCAACACAGGTGTTCCTAATCAGCTGGTAGCTTTCTTTCATTTGCTAAAAAGACCAGGCTCTGCCATTCATTAGTGTTTCATTCTTGTCTAAATCCAGTCAGTGCATAGTAACTATTTTAAATACACACACACACACACACACCATACTGTACATCTTAAATAGACACAATAAAATATATATTTGGAAAATAATCCTGTAAGCAGAGGGGAAAGATAAAGTGTGGATGAAGCAGTTACGTTTCTTAAAACCATGTAGAAATTTGTTACACCTTGTGTTTGCTCACATTCCCACCTCTAGGAACAACTCTATTCTTAGGAGGAGGAGCAAGAATTTGAGAGATTAGTTAGTCTTCTTTGCCACCATTATTTTCTACTTGTCAAAACCTCTGGGACTTAGCTCGTACCCCAAAACAAAAACCCAGCCACTGCCCCGTTCAGTTAGTTCAGCAAAGATGCAATTTTACCACAGAATACAAATGTAGCTTCATCATTAATATTTATCATAATGAAGTGTCATTGTTCACTTTATGTCCCCCAATAGACTGCATGTTTTTATATCCTAATGATGTTGGTATTTTGGCTCCTAGCACAATGCTGGCATTGTGAATAAATAAATATCTTTCTTAATGAATCTATAATTCTCTTTGTTCATGTTCATTTGATAATTATTTTGGTTCAAACAAAACTAAAAATAAAGATGATCTTACCATCTCCTGCTTTTTTGATGTTTGGATTATTTTCAGCTTCTTTTCTATTATAATAGTACAGGATTTGACATCCTTGAAGACAAATATTTATGTGTATCAGTGATTATTCCTTTCAAATAAATTGTTGAAAATAAAACTTTCTGAGTCAAATATATTTAAAATTACAAGGACATATATATTGCTAGATTGCCTTCTGGAAATAAACCAAACCATGCTACTACTGAAACTTTGTAAGAGTGCTTTATTCCTTGAACCCAATCCTATACTGTCTTTTATTGACTTAAAGAAAAAAGTTCCTGTCATTTTCATTGGCCAAAATAGTAGCTCCTTATATTATTTTGCTTTTATTTGAGCACAAATGAGTGAACTTTTTAATGACTATTTGTATTTTCTCTGTAACAGTTAGCTGCTCCTTAATAAATGCACTCTATGGATTATTTTAAGATTTTTAACTCTATAAAATCGAACTTCTTTAGTTATTTGTGTTTGAGAAGTTTTACTGGGAACTTCTGGGTATTGTGGCAGAGTGGGCTGACATGAAAGAATCCCATTTTGCTTCACTAGTTTTCAAGTACTAAGTAAAATATAAGATAATTTATGGATATGTGGTTGAGCAGGAACCAAGAGAAGGAAATCCCCAGGTGCCTGAAATGAAGGAATATTCACATAGAAAGCCACCATTGAGCCATCTGCTGAAAGCTGGGAGTCACAAAGGAGTACTGTTCCAGTTACTATGACTGCATAACAAATTTCTCCAAAACTTAGTGGTGCAAAACAACCATTTATTGTGCTCATGGACTCCATGGGTAAGGAATTCGGACAGTGCAGAGCAGGGACAGTGTGACTGTATTCCACCATGTCTGAGGCTCAGCAGGAAGATTTGAAGGCTG